CGGCGATGAATCAAACACGGCGGAGGACGGCATTCTGGTGAGCGGTCGTCGAGGGTGCGGCTGGCGGCTGGGCCTGCTCAGCGCAGGACGGCAGAGGCCGCCGAGCACGTGCATTGTTTGTCAGCAGCTGAAATGTTGTCATTTGGTGTGTGAGCAGCTTTAGTGCAGTTTGCTGTGGCATTTAGAAAGGTCCGGTCATGACGACGCTTACAATCAATGTTTGTGGTTCTAGACGCTGAATGTAGGATGGCCAAAATGAGATGGCGTCATGTCATGTTTATTTAAAGATCTTGTTCGACACGCGATGTAGGCAGTACGTGGTCTCTGGCTGCTGCGTGCTGAGTTGTTTGTGCTATTCCACAAGTGTGCAAGCATCTTATGCGCTCGATTTTGCCGTGTGCCCACCACTGTACATGTGTCCGTTGTCCCGTCGCTGCCCTGTTCCCCGGGTGGGCGTGCTCGGCCCCGCTCCCTCTGACCCGTGTGCTTCGCCGACCCCCTCCGCGGCTAACCCGCGCTCCGGCCGCCGGCAGTCGGCCGCCGACGACTCGGTCTCGATGCCGCCGCCGGCCGCGCCCGCCGCCGACGAGCCGGCCGACGAGCCGAAGCGGAGCGCGGACGAGCGCCAGAGCGAGGACGAGCCGGCGGCCAAGCGCGCCAAGCCGGATGGGCCGGGCGCCGAGTAAGCGGCGGCCGGCGGACGCGCGTACGCCGGCGACACTACACCACACACATAGTACACATTATGCCAGGGACGCGTCGCCTGGGCCGTCGGACGCCGGCGCGACTATTTTTATAGACATACCTCTGCGGCGGGACGGGCGTTCGCGGGCTGGCGGGCCGTTTCCATTCCAGTGTTGGCCGGCGGCGCGGCCGTGGCGGCGCGCAGCGGCGGTCGCGCCGCCCCTCATCCGCACACAATACATTCAGACGATGAGCCGCCTGTTTTCTGGGGAGAGAGGAGTGGCGGTGTCGCCGGAGAGCGGTGGTGGACGCGGCGGTGCTGGAGGTGCGCCCGTCGACTGCGGCCGTCCGGTCAGGTTCAGCGGCCGGGAAGCTGCGGAGTAAGACGCGGGTGGAGACGGCACGCTGCCCTGTGTTCGGTGTGAGCCTGACAGCTGCCCGTGCCTGCGCTATCCGTACACGAACTTCAGCTCCACGGCGAGAAAATGTCAAATGCGTCGTTAGCTCCTTTTCATTGCTAGCCGATTGATTTGCTTTTCACGCGCCTAACTCGTTTCCAGCGCGTACGCTCGCACGAGGCTGGAGTGCAGCCAAATTTAACAATCTGGGGCTTTGTAGTCTATGCCTCTGTTCCGCACTCAGTGTGGAGTGCACCCGCGTGGGATATGCGCTTAGCTGTGTCATTATGCTCTTCATCAATTTGACCGATTCCTTTGTAGGGATGAGCTCCTTCGAGATCAGTAGCTGCTAAGCGTAAGCTATTGCGGCAACGTGAACTGCACTAACCCGTAGACTAATGCCAGCTAAACGGGTGGTTTGTGTCCGTTCGGTTCAGTTTTTCTTTCAGTAAGTTGAATTCGTATTTATGGCTATAGCGTGCCCTGTAGTGTTCCTTCAGACCGCCAGGAAAGTCGTTGGCTGGTGTCTTGACATACAGAGCTCCTTGGTCTCATCCACGATGGGCAGTAATACCTCTAGCAGCTGTTTTGCCAGCGCCGTTGTAAGATCATTATTACCGTGAACGGAAAGATAGGCGTGCCAGCGGGCTGTAAATGATCTATATGGAATGGCCGAAATTGTGTGGCCTCAATGGCTTGGACCATCCTGCCAGATTTTTGGCGAGCTTACGTCGTTCAACCACTGCACTCACCGGCCCTGTTGGAAAGGCACCGGCAATAAGCGGCGCAGTGCTTTGAAGCCTGCATTGTAGCGTTTTTAAGCCATTAGTATGCACGCTGTATGATCGCGTGAGATTCTTTTCCATAATCCGATATCACTAATTATGTCTACGTCCCATGGTTCGGTTGGTTGGGTGGGAAAATCTTGAAATTGCGAAGAAGCTGAAAACACTAATGGAAACTTGATCGATACGCCAACGGTCAGGCGCAGTAGCAACGAAAGACCAACGCGGCTTAACGGGAGAGAAAATAGGTAATCTATATGACAAAAATGTGGGCCTATGTTTGCAGTGAAGCACTGATGATGGAAAGCATGGATCCGTCGCTTCGGAATGTTTTTTTTTGCGATAGTCACCTCGGCAGCCAGAGCGAGAAAAGGCGTAAAACCGACTCCAGTGCACGTGACGCCAGTTACAGGCGCGTGCACCGCCTACAAATGGTGAACGATGCCAGCACCGTCCGACCCAGGTCCGACCAAAAAGTGCGTCAGTTGCAAATTGGGCCGTCGATTTGAACTTCTCGAAACCGGCCCCGAGTACAGCACGCTGTGGCTTAAATCAAGGGAGACTGCCAACGAAACTGCGTGGACCGAGGCTCGCTGTTGTGCGACCAATATCTGTCCAGAATATATGCGTTTTTCACTAATTCTGTCACATGTACCAAAAACGTAAGCTGCCCCGAATTCGTCGATCCGTCTGGTAGAGGTGCCAAGGCTTGCTGGTTGCGATGCGCAAACCCAGCCAAGGTTCCAGCAATACTTGCCCTGAAGTGATGCCGTACATTAACACCGTGCCTTTGTGCGGGCTCTCGAAGGCGGCGGACTGGAATCGTTTCTATTTGTGTGTCGTTTACATGGTCATATCCCTCAAGTCTGTGATCACCCGCTCGCCATGCGCCGTAAAACGCATTTTACTGCCTTATTGGACGGCGTATCGCCGTGATAAGACAATGAAGCTGTTCTGTCGAGCATTTCCCGTCCCAAATTGGTTACGCTATCGACAAGTATGACATTAACAATGGTGATAAAAAATGTTTGAAAAATACCATCCACCATCACGTGGGTGAAAGGGAGCGCTCGAATCCTGGTTGCACCGTACTCTCTGAGTACACAAATATGGCTGCTGCAGTCGCCGGCGCCTCACAGACGTGCGCATGACGAAGCTCATCACGATCGCTTTAAGAAACTTGGGTTTCCGTCCTGGTCCCTCTTCTGAGCGGTGGTTGGTTCTCGCCTGGTTTTGGAACGCATGCCTAATGTGGTCTTTCAAGCAATGCGCATGTCCGACATGTCTTTCAAACCTTTGAGGCGGTCGCCTCGTCCAGTAGAGCTACAGTGCGCGGAGCAGAGATCAGTGGTTCTCAAATGGAGTGGTCATTTGACGGCGGCAGTTCGAAGACGTTACTTACGCACTGATGCCTAGTTTATCGGCTCGATGGGTTTGGTCCACTAGTTCTAAGGCCCACTCCAGGGGAACAACCGCCGTGCTCAACCGACAACGCCTTGTGCTGTCTACCAACGGGAAGTGGTGACCGTTGTGTGCATGCCGAGCCGCACCGAGATTACCGGAAAGAATCGACAGTGGCGCTGCGAACGCAACAGCGCTACAGATACACACCATCGTGAGGATGTCCCTGCAACTGGCATGGTTGGGGCTACAAGCATCACAAGCATGCAGGGCGGCAGTCAATGTAGGAATGACAGTCAAAACAAGGATTGAATCTAAAAGCAAGCATAAGCTTGCCTAATGGGGTCCTTTCGCAAGGGTCCGGAAAGAGGAGGTATTCCCTGCCTGTGTTCACACGGTAGACACGCACGGCACCGCGCTGTCGCCCCTTACGGGCCAAGCAGAAGCACCAACCCATCGCCGCTGCCGTGGTCCGCCTGCGTGATCGCGTGGTCACGTGGTCTGACAGACTGCGGCACCCTGGCCGTTGCCGCGGTCCGCCTGTGTGATCGCGTGGTCACGTGACGTGGCAGATCGCATCCCCGGCGTCCGGGTGGTCCACTCTGGCGGCTTAGAACTGGTGTTGCTAAGGGGGAACTGACTGGTAATTACACCCTTAGACGACGCCATATACATATAACGTATCGACATGCATCCATAGATAAGCTGCATACATAAATATATATATGCTGCACATATAAGCTGCATACATAAGGCGTATATACTTATACACGTGCAGACGATGACGCCTGTACGTTGGTGGGCGTAGGCCAAAGGCGATTCATTCTTTGGTGGACTGGTATCCCTTTCGAAACGCTAACCAATGGCGCGGCTGTATTGTCTGTATACTCCTGCCTATACTCGTCGGGTACGAAAACGCAGCGAGCAAGCCTCAACGAGCACTGCCCACCAAAAGTCCGCGACAACAACAACAAAATGATCAGATCTGTATTGCTCTGGTTGCACTGATAACATGGCACTGGGTTGAGCGGGTCCTCTCCAGGGACTGGGGTATACATTGCACGCGGAATGCGCAAGCCATATGTGGAATGCCTCACACGCGCCATCGCGAAAACAACAAGTTTGTGGCTACCGTTCGGCAGCGGTGGCCCCTACGCGTCGCCTGCATAAATTGCCGCAGCAGCTTCACACACGCATGGAATGTGGGCCGTCTACGTTGACTGGAATGCATTTCGTGACCTTCGCCGTCTCCTTGCCGAGTTCCAACGTCCACCGCCTGTTCGCACAGGCCACAGAATGGCAATGCTACCATGACAGCCACGGCATCAATGACACGGCACACGGCGCCGTGTATGGGAGCGCTAGTTTGTGCATACATCGGATACACCATGGATAATTTGATGCTAATATTGTCTAGGCGTGACGTGGCGTATAAAACGTCGAACCCGCCACCGTTATCTAAGCTACTCCACATCCCGCCAGTGGGAGCGGGGTGGTCAGTACTATTCGACGGCTGCGGGGTGCAACCCGCCATGCCGCCAGCCTTCCCCCGCCGCTGCCTCCGACCTCCAGTTACGCAAGCCGACGCACGACCTACCATCGCCTCCATCAAGGCGGGCCCGCTGCGCTGCGTATACGCCCGGTAACAGACCGCCAACCCATCCCCTCCGACGTCACCGCTCCGCTCTCCACGCCCCGCCGCGACCTCCGCCCTCCGCCCCTCCGCCCCTCCGCCTCGCCCCTCCCCGGCCCGGTCAGCCGATCCTCTGCAGGTAGGCGGCGTACGCGCGGCGGGCGTACTCGCCGGCCGCCTCCGCGGGGCTCTCGGCGCGCGTCACGCCACGGCCGACGATGACCACGTCGGCGCCGCACTCGCCGACGGCCCGCTCCGGCGAGCTGTACTGCTGGCCGTGCGCGTCGGCGGCGGCGCTGACGCTGACGCCCGGCGTGAGCACGAGGAAGCGTGGGTCCGACGTCACCGACGACTGCGCCACGAACCCGCACGCGAAGTACGGGTGCGCCTCGGCCATCTTGACCGCCGCTGCGGAGAGGCGAGAGGAGGGGGCGTCAGAAGCGGGGACGGCTGTGGGATGGGCAGGGGGACGCAGGCAGTCAGGGAGGCGAACCACACGTCACACAACGCTGTGATGATATTGCACAGCACGGTGATGGTGACGAACGCAGACCTCAGAGCGGCAGCAGTCATGATAGGGCTAGCGCGGCGCCTCCAACGAGCGGATTGGGCAACCCGCGCACGCACGTGCACAGGCCCCCTTCACAGACAATGACACCGGGGCACACAGGCCTGTCCAAGTGCGCAGCATCCGCGGCGGACGAGCGCCACGCCACGATCCGGTGCATGGTCGGGCTGCCCCGGGACCGCCGGCAGCCGACAGCGCCTTGGTAACGCGTGCTCGACCAACAGTCCTGTCCTGTTCACCCCTCCCCCCCCCCCCTCCCCCGCCCCGTCCCCGCCCTGATGGGCGGCACCGGCACCGGCGTCGCCAGACGAGGGACCTCCGCCAGCCGAGCACCATCCGGTGCAAGCCCCTCCTCCGCCCGCTCGCGCCGCCTCCCGCCCCCCAGCCGGCGCCCACTGACCGGCCGTGTACTGGGCGGTGGCGAGACAGCCGCGGCTTGACATCTGCGCCACGAGCAGGGCGCCGCGCTGGCGGCCCTCGGCGCGCGCCGACAGCGCCGTCAGCAGACCCTCGCCCGGCAGCGGGTGCATCGTCACCAGGTCGGCCCAGTCGCAGATGGCGAACGGGCCGTCGGCGAACTGCGCCGCCGACATGCTGCCGATGTCGGCGAACTTCCTGCGGGGAGGGCGGTCAGCCGGGGTCAGCGGAGGTCGGCTGGGGTCACGAGAGGTATGCCGGTGCCACGAACGTTTAGACGGGGTCACGAGAGGCCAGCCGGGGTCGCCGGGAGGTCAGACGGGGTCAGCGGAAGTCGGCCGGGGTCAGCGGAGTTCGGCCGGGGTCACGAGAGGTCAGACGAGATCATCAGGCGAGCTGGCATCACGGGAGGTCAGCCTGGGTCACGAGAGAACATACGAGGTCAGCTAGTGGCATACGTGGTGTCATGGTGTCAGCTGGTGTCATACATGCATACGAGGTCAGCTGGTGTCACGGAAGGTCAGCCAGGATTATGAGAGGTCAGACGGGGTCACCGGGAGGTCAGCCGGGATCACGGGATGTCAGCACGATTGTGAAGGTTGGAAGAGTCGTATGGACCATCAGAGCGTTACCAACCTTCTACCAATCGGCGAAGGTTAGAAATACGGATGCGTGGAGACGATAAGTCTCCACAGCAATTGTCACGAAATGGATTTGACATGAGACCGAAAGTACCCTAGTCGTTCCAAAAACATCCGTTACTTGTTGCACTGGATATCACACATTTGCCAAAACAGCACAATTGGCATGTTGCAAGACACTAGTTCCAGCCCCTACGGTTCTAAGAAAATTCCGTAGCTCTCCTCACACCAATGTGAGTGTGCTGCACGAGAAGTCTGGCTTTTGATGCCAGCATAAGGTGTGCGGGAGCAGCAGCCAGTGATCGTCCATGGCCACAGACCCCCGCTTTCAGCTGACAGGACCGCAGGGGCGGGTCGACGACGCCACCGTTACGTGACAGGGCGGCAGGGGCGGGGCGGCGCCGCAGCCCACCTGTCCTCGCAGATGAGGAAGTTGTGCTTGAGCGCCAGCTCGCGCAGCTGCCGCGGGAACGCCTCGCTGAAGTCCGTCATGATGTCGACGTGCGTCTTCAGCATGCAGATGTGCGGCCCCACCTGGCGGGAAGCGGGGCACGGGCTCAGCCGCCTCGAGCTGCGACACGACCGCCCGACCACGGCCGGGGAGGGGGGGGGGGGGCACCAGCTCAGTCGTCTCGAGCTGCGACACGCCCCCCGCCCCCACCCCCCGCCCACGGCCGGGGGCGGACGAAACCGGCGTGTGGCCAGCAACGCACCAACGACAGCGCACAGCGCACTCAACACGGACCAGGACGCGGTCACTGCCGAGCACCGCAGCAGAGCCGGTACGGCGCTCCCGGGGCGACCGTCCGTGCCGGTGAGCCCAGCGCGGTCCACCTCCTGCTACTGACAGCGCGCCGAGCGGGCCGGGCCGGGCCGCGACGGCCGGGCCGGGCCGCGACGGCCGGGCCCGGCGCCCGTGTCGCCGCAGGACCCACCTGATCGGCCAGCTGCAGCGCCGCCTGGCTGGTGCCGAGGTCGGCCGCCACGCAAAGGTTGGTGCGCTTCTCCTCCATGAGGCGCAGCAGGCGGCGCACCAGCGCCTGGGAGGTGGTGGCCGCGCGCGCGCCGAACGACATCCGCAGGCGGCCGGCCGACTCGGCCACTCCGTCTGCGGCGCGTCGCACGTCACCCCAGGTCAGCTCAGGTCGGGGTCAGGTCAGGCACACAGCATGTCATCGCCGCCCCGCCGCGGCGCATCGCACGCCACCCCAGGTCAGCTCAGGCCAAGGTCAGGTCAGGCACATGGCATGTCATTGATTTCCGATTCAGGTGCAGCATGACACGCAGCTGTTTTTATGCGTCTCTCCGCAGTTCGTATTTGTTCACTCTTATCTGCTAAGCGCGTGCAACCAAGGCTCCTCCCACCATACGTAGGACTGTATAAGTCTTGTGAGACAAACGGAAATATGGCCTTTTCACATTGCCTATACACTTCATGCTTCTACAGCCTCGCAGAACAGGCACTCGCGCTAAAATCCTTCATTTGGCGGGGGTGCCGAAGCGATTAGCGCAGGCGTTGCGTCTTGAAACACTGCAAGACGGCGGTGCATCCCGCATCGCATCGGCACAAGACCCCATCACTTCGCATCGAGGCATGGATCACGTCACATTAAACACAGGTCACAGCACATCACGCGTCACAGCACCACGCGTCACATTACAACACACGTCACAGCACAAAACAAGTCGCATCACAGCACACGTCACAGCACAAAACAAGTTATATCACAACACACGTCACAGCACAACACGTCACGGAACAACACACGTCACAGCAACAGCACACGTCACAGCACAAAACAAGTCACATCACAGCACACGTCACAGCACAACACGTCACGGAACAACACACGTCACAGCAACGGCACAACACACGTCACATTACAACACACGTCACAGCACAAAACAAGTCACATCACAACACGCGTCACAGTAAAACACACATCACAGCACAACAAGCGTCATGGCACACCAAGTCACGACCTACACCCTGCCACACTGGAATGTGCCATTCAAAACCACATCTCCCCCTCCGCGTAGGCACATACACGCGGTGATGACAACAGTGATCACGCTTTCCATATTCCTCTGCCTACTGAAATTGACCTTAACACTGGCCGGCGACCCCAGCGTGCGCGGTGGGCCCGGGAGGTCGCACCAGGGGTCACAGGGGTCACACAGGGATCACAGAGGTCCGTGCCGGGGGCACATGGGTCACAGGCACAGCGGCGTGGTGCGCGCACCGTTCGGTTCCCGTCGGATGATGGTCTCCTGGCTGTCCTTCAGGAACGCGTTGACCGCCCCCACCTGCTTGTCATCGATTTTGCCGTGTCGCAGCAGGATGGCGAGCATCTGGCCGGCATAACGGACCAGGCGTCACCACGCTGACCACGCGCCGGGACCAGGACACGGGCCTCCACCGTGCACCGGGACCAGGACACGGGGCCTCCACCTTGCGCTCGGACCGGGACGAGGGGGCCTGCACTGCAGCATGGTCCAGGACACTGGGGCCTTCAACCCGGCCTGGCACAGAAAACGGGCCCACTGCGGTCAGGACCAGGACACGGGGGGCCTCCACCGCGGCCTGGACCAGCGCACAGGGTCTCCACCGCGGCCTGGACCAGCGCACAGGGTCTCCACCGCGGCCTGGATCAGGACACAGGGGCCTCCACTGCTACCGCGCCGCGGAGCGATGATAATAGACAAGCGTGGCCGGTACCGACAGGTCAGCTGATGTCTCGCTCACAGGATCGAGCGCACCTAGCGTCACCACAGCGGCGGAACAACACCTGATCGGTTACTTATGACCAGCTGAGTCCATTTAAACATGTCCAGCAGCCAGCTGTTAACTGCGCGCACTGACTGGCGGCACCCTTCATGTGTCATAACCAGGGACGTGGGTAAGGGGAGGACCAAGGGAGCATGTTCCTTGGCCCCTCCCATCCTAAGCAAGCAGTTTACATGATATCTGGGTAATTTTGCAGGACTTTGGTCCAAATTCGCACGATTTTGGAGAAACTTTGGCATACGCCCGCCCTACCCCACTGAAGCAAATGTTGGTTACGTGTCTCGTTACCGTAGACAACGACAGGGAGCGACCCCGGAACACGCAGGCCCGGCCAGGAACGACCGGCGAGGACCGGCCGGCCGGCGGCGACCCTTCCCCGAGCCCATGACCCGCGGGACTGGACGCTGCCCCGCTCCTACCGTGAACAAGCCCCTCATACCTGGCCTGGCACCCTGGCGCGGCCCCGGGCGCGTCCCAGAGACCACGACCCCCCGGGGCTGGACGCTGCCCCGCTCCTACCGTGAACACGCCACTCATATCCGGCCGGGCGCCCCGGCGCGGCCCCGGGCACGCCCAAGAGACCGTGACCCCCCGGGGCTGGACGCTGCCCCGCTCCTACCGTGTACACGCCCCTCATACCCGGCCTGGCACCCTGGCGCGGCCTCGGGCACGCCCCACCTGCTGCATGTCGCACACGGAGCGGATGGCGACGCCGAGCTTGCGCAGGTTGGCCGTCGCGCCCTGCTGCCGGTCCACGAACACCACGGCGTCCGTCACCTCCAAGCCGCAGGAGCGCAGCGACTGCCGGCGGCGCCGCCCGTCAGCCGGGGTCAACACGTCAGCCGGTCGGGGTGGACGGAACAGGCGCGCGCGGAGACGCACTGGATACACAGGTGAGTTATAGACGCGAACTGATGCCGAACACGGTATCCGAGCACGAGATTCGTCTGAAATCTGCCCATGAGAGATTCTGTTGTTCCGGTGACATCCTCAGGTTATAACGGAAATAACTCAAAAAACGGAAGCACGAACGGGCGAGCTGAAAGCACGCCATTCAATCAGCTGGTGAACGCTCATATGGGGATATTGAGTCGGAACGACGTTTTTCGTAACTAGGATTGAGCTGCATTGACAAAGTCAAGGATTACAATGACGGAGATTAGTTAATTCCACTCCGATCTAATTCCAGGGGTCAATCGGATGGGCCACGCGGAATTCACGCACCTCCCGACGCTCGGTGTGAACCACACCCCAACATCACACACCGAAAGCTAGCACAGCAGTGAGACGCAACCCGAGTGTTACACATATCTCGACAGTACACTTATCCGCGTTTCGGACTCCGTGCCACGCCCAGCAGAAGATTATCGCTGCTCCGAACACGCTCCAACGTCCGCAACAGCCATGCTCTGGACGGGGCGCTCACCACGGCCGTCTCATAGACGCTGGAGCCGCTGACGATGACGTCCTCGATGATGAAGCAGTTGTCGCCCGGCTTGAAGTGGCCTTCGATGAGCCGCTTGGTGCCGTACGACTTCTCCTCCTTCCGCCGGATCAGCATCGGCAGCTTCTGCAGGCGGGAGTGGAGCCGTTAGTGAGCCGTTTGGTGGCGTACGACTTCTTCTCCCGCCGTATTAGCATCGGCAGCTTCTGTAGGCGGGGGTGGAGGCCTCAGTGGCGCCGTGTGGCGGTGGGCGTCTCTGTCGCGACGTCACGGGGCGCACCGCGAGGCACGGTCTGCCGCCGAGGTATTTTGCCATGCAAACTCATAAAATCATGCGATTTCCTGTCCGCAGCAAATTCGACCTTGACCCCGCCAGGAGGGGAGGAGAGGAGGCGGCCACAGAACTGACCTACTCACCCCCCCCCCCCTCCCGTGGAGTCCGCAGCAACGGAACTGACCCACCCCAGTCGCCGGCCCGCCCGCTCCCAGCGAACCCGTCCCCAAGGTCACCTTGGTCTGCAGCTGGAACAGCCGGACGCCGGGTCGACGACCTCCGGTCCGGACGGCACGGCGGCACCGGTGCCGGCCGCATTAATCCGACCTCTGTTTGTCACGGGCTGCTGAGCCAACCTTAACAATCTCGTGCCCCCCCCCCCCCCCCCCGCTTCCACACACCCTAGGGAGCCTGACAGCCTGGGACCCTAACACGTGAACAGGAAACTGCATGCGATTGGCCAGATACAGGTAGGAGATTAATGGGCTCGTAAGAGATTAACAATGCTCCGTCTTTGGTAGGACGCCGTGCAGCTTACGCTGAGTGAGCCCTTTCAGCCACGGACACGTGACCTCTGGCGCAAGATCTCAGTTTTGGTGACATTTGGTAGCAGTAAGCCCCTCACGAACTGTGCACGGCGTGTGCGATCTGTTAGAATAGGCAGCGCAAGGTCAAATTCCTCCCGCGGCTTACGCAAATTCAATGCCTTGCGATCACGGAAATCTGGCAGTTGTACCGGCCTGATGTGACCCTTGTTCCGTTCACCCATTGTCGCGAATGTTGCATGCAAAAAGATGGGCTGACTACGAGCATTTCGATATAAGTCATCAGTATATTGCGGTTTTCCACGATTTTCCGTTTTCCGATTTGCAATCATCAATACATGCGATTTTCAACGACTGCGAGTCAATGATTTTCCTGCAAGGATCGGCACGTGGCTGTCGCTCTGTTTAAGAGCGCTGACGCCTCTACGCATGCGCGTTTATCTAATGATCATGGTTGACTCCGAGACTAATGATTTGCGCAACGTCAATCACGTCACAGATGGGGTCAAATCGAGCGCAATTGTCCTGCGCTTACACAAAAAGACTGGCAAAAATATGATGAATAAAAACAGCTCTAGCCAGATTTCAGCCCTCACTACGGGGTGAGGTGCATCGCGTTGCCAGCTGCAGACCACTACAGAGCCCAGTAACGCTAGCGTGTAACACCGAGGAGACGCAGTATGCAATGACCTCCGTCAAGGGCACGCGACGCGTTGGCTGCGTGCGCACTGTGTACGTCTGCAAAACCGGACACGAGGACCAAAAGAAAGAAAAAGAGAGGGAGGGAAAGTGAAAGAGATAAAGAGATAAAGAGAGAGAGAGGGAGAGGAGGGAGAGATGTACAGGGAACGACAGAGATATGTACAGGAAGGAAGAGGGAGGTATACAGGGAGGGAGAGGGGGATGTGCTGGGAGGGAGGGAGATGTACAAGGAGTGAGGGAAAGGAAGAGATAGAAAAGGAAGAGAGTCAGATAGGGCGGGTTAAGCTCCGAAGCGTTAACAGGTGACGTAGCAGTACTGTTGGCTATCCGGAGTTATGAATGAAGGAAGTGGTCAGTTTATGTCGTGCCAATCATCCGGAAACATCCCATCAATGAACTAAGTCACAATCAGCGAACCTCCCGCTGTTCCAACCGGAGTTAACAGGATTTTCCGGCAGCAGGAGACCACCGCAAATGTACCCCATGCCTACCGCTAAATGCATTCAAACCAGGGTATTCAAAGGCACCAGGGTATTCAAACGCTGCCGAGAGCGTCTTATGATTGGGGGAGATGATATAGATAGATACCATCTTATGATTGGGGGAGATGTCCATATCACCACGCACCCCCTGAGCGTAACGTGAACGTGAGCCTGCTGGCCAGGGATTGCGACCGCGAGGCATGGACCAGGTATGGGAGAGGTCCAGGGTCCCGCGGTACTGCGAAACAGCGTATCGCTCCATTCTGTGTAGGGAGGGACCCAAAGCAGGCTGTTCTGCCGTACCACAGGACGGCACGAGGCCAGGTCGGGTCGGCGCGCAGCGTCTCCGGGTCGGCCTGTAGTGTCCCCCACACTTTATCACCGAGCATGCCTGTCGTGTCCCCCACACTCCACCACCGGCCTGCCTGTGGTGCCCCCACACCTCATCACCGAGCCTGCCTGTCGTGTCCCCCACACCCCCATCACTGGGTCTGCCTGTCGTGTCCCCCACACCCCATCACCGGCTTGCTTGTGGTGTCCCCCGCACCCCACCACCGAGCCTGCCTGTCGTGTCCCCCACACCCCATCACTGGGTCTGCCTGTGGTGCCACTACACTTCATCACCGAGCCTGCCTGTCGTGTCCCCCTCCCCCCCCCCCCCCCATCACCGGCCTGCCCGTCGTGTCCCCCACACCCCATCACCGGCTTGCCTGTCGTGCCCCCCACATCCCAACAGATATGGTGGACACGTCCGGCCTCTCCAGACGCCGCATCAGCAGCTGGGTTGACGGCCGGCAGGCCGGTCAGTGTCGGGTGACGGCGCCGATCACGGCATTTGCATACCCCGACCCCCCGGGCACCGGGGACGACAAACCAGCACACTCAACAGCCCGACGCCCGGCTTCCAGACTCGTGCTTGACGGAGCGGAGTTGTGAGATCCCGTCTGAAAGTATAAACAACTGCCCCGCATGGACCATTGCACCGCAGTGCATCACGAGCCGCGCTGCAGTACTATGGACCCGACTTCGCCGTAAATGAATCACGGCCTGGTCAGCATCTCCGGAGTCAGAATCAGAGTCGACTCCGAACCGACGCGCCTGCCCAAGGCTCGCGCTGTCTCTGGCCGTGGGACATAGTCAGCCCCCGGTAATCCAGGAGTCGGCCGGAGTCGCCGCCGCTGGCGCCGAGCCCGGCGCGGGCCGCTGTGGCGTCCGCTGCTCCCGTCACACGCGGCCGGGCCTGACGGCAGCGCCAGACGCCGGCGCGGGAGACCGCGCCACGGCCCCGGCGCACCGCCCACCGCGCACCCAACATCGGCCACCGAGGCCGGGCGGACCGAGACAGCTGACGCGGCCTGTGTCGGCAGCGCTGTCCAGAGGCCGGTCCGAAGACAACCGGCCGGCACGCCTGCACCCGCGTCCACGGATCACGACCCCAGCTCTGTTCTGTCCGACCACACACGCGGCAAATGGGCAAGTTATCGAGAGGTTGAAATTACCGCACATAGGCCTTGTATGGGGCTGCTTGCACGTAGTCAGCATACATGGTTACATTCCACCCCGCTGTAAATAAAGCAGGCCTAATGCAATGGACCAAGGAACTGGGCCGTACCCTGGTGCGGCCCAATGCCCTCGGACCCTCGGCCAAAAGTATCGAGAACACAGGAGACGTTTGCTGAAAACTGAGCGTTGCTTTGAGTCAGAATTGGCGGAATATGACTGAGCAGAAGATGCGTACGTGAGTCCGAATCATCACCACCATCAAGCTCGGGGTCCGGGACTGATCTCCGCGGACTGCTGATCCCATTTCCAGTCATGTCCGTTGCGTCAGAGGCAGCAGCGGCGGCCTGCCGCGTTCGTCAGCGCCGCGACCCGGTCCCGAGCAGCAGCCGTCATCACCCACCTGCTTGGTGGCGATGATGGTGGCCATGGGCAGGGCGGTGTACGGCACGCCACAGACGGAGGCGAACTGCACGCCCTCGGGCCGGCGCTCCCACAGCAGGTCGGCCACCGACTCCTGCCGGCGGGCACGGAGTCAGGTCAGACTGGGAGCTGTGTGGAGTCAGAACTCAGGCTGGCACTCCTACACCAGGTCGGCCACCGACTCCTGCCGGCGGGCACAGGGTCAGGTCAGGCTGGAGAGCTGTGTGAGGTCAGAACCCAGGTCAGTGCTCCCACAGCAGGTCAGCCACCGACTCCTGCCGGCGGGCACGGGGTCAGGTCAGGCTGGGGAGCTGTGCAGGGTCAGGCTGGTGCTCCCATGGTGGAATACACCACTGATATCTGTTAGTGACATGGTGTCAGGTCAGGTCAGGGTACTATGGGGGTTATGAGGTTAGATTAGCATGGGTACTGCATAGGGGTCACAGCCTTGCCCTAGCACTCCCACAACAGGTCAGCTTCAGACCCTCTTGGGGGCATAGGGTCAGGTCAGTTGGTTGATGTGAGAGAATATGGTTCAGCCAGGATGTGATGGGAAGATGGGGCCACCATGCCTGCACCACCACCTCTGCCACAGGTCTGCTGCTGACTCCTGCAGTACCCACATGATGACACCAAGTCAGGGCATGTTGCTGGGAATGATTGCATGGTGTGCTCAGTCCAAGATGTTTGCTAGGGAGGTGAGGTCAGGTCTGGGAAGACCATCCATGGCAGGACACTGCTGAAGCCAGCTTAGTCACAGAATCCTGAGGGGGACAATTTGAGGATCAAGACAGAACAGGGTGCTATGAATGATCAAGATTTTAGTTAGGTCAGCCAGAGTCCTAGTTTGGAGGCAGGGTCAGGTCAGGTCAGGTCATCACTCCTGTCAGCACACTGTCATGGCCAGGCTAGCATGCACTCCAGCTGAGGAAAAAGTCATCTGCAGGGTTTAAACATAAGCTAGTGCTTCACTGATCAGGTTTAAACACAAGCTAGTGCTTGGAGACAACACCGAGGACACCATTCACCAGAGGACTGCTCTGCACAGTGTTACTGTCAGGAACAACGCAGGGGTGCCATTCAATGCAGGGGATGGTAATCAGCATGGGGCTGCTGCCAGCAGAAGCAGCATGGAGGCTTTATAGGCTGAATAGGGGAACTAATCCCTTAATATTGTGCAGTTCAAAAAGAATGAACAGACCAGGAGTAAGTTGAAAGCTAGTTTATGTTCAAAATATAAATCAATTTATTTTAACCATTCAAAAATTGGTCTATAGGCAGTAGGGCTGCCTTAAGGTTGAAGCCAGTAGGAGTACACGACATTTATAGCTCGGGAAGGTGCTAACCTAAAAATGATAAAATTTATGTATGTCAAATACAGAGAACTTGCAAATGTATCACACCATGGCACAGTCAACTCCATTCATACAGGACAAGTGTTTGATGTACACCACAAAGTACCAGGACAACTGTCTTTAAGTCACATCACCAAAACACCTGCAGAATGAGCCACCATGACAGATATGACAGTGACAAAATTGCATCAAACTCCCATTTATACTCTGCATGCTTACCATAAGTTCAGGGTAGCTGACAACTACCCTTAGGTCAAAATAAATTGGAGACAGAAGTCCACTCTTTAGTGTGAACTGGCCAAACTTGACTCCCTCCACAGCAAAGAGGCGCAGTACCACATCTTCAACCCTCTCCTCAAATGACATCATGTCAGCCTGCAACAAACATCTCATTTGTAGTGAACGCCAGTCATTTCTGGCGATACACAGGTCATAGGCTTTAAAGTATAGACGTCTCACCAGGTCCTAAGCATCAATACTGTGAGACCCTGACGCGGCAACCTCAAAAACAAACATTCACCTCGCGCATTAGACACCAAAAACAAGCATCCTCGAAACAAGAACATGCTCATCTTCCCACCCCAATGTTGTTGTGACGTATGGTTTCGACGTGAACTCCGCACTCCACAACAACCTCTTTCAGACAGCACGCCGCGCGCTCCTCAGCCCGTGGACTCTCACAGCTGCCTGACGCCCGGCACCACGTCCGGACCCACGTGTCCTCCGCTCTCTCCCGGCGAGTGATGTGATCTCATTGGTCGATTCAAGGCTGCCAGATTGACAGCCGATAGGGTTCAAGGTTACTCCCACCCAGCGACAACTGCTTTACGTCACTGGCGGTTATGTCGAAAGAATGATTATCAAAAGGAGCTTTGAGGCAGAGTCTGTGGCAACTGGCGCAGTCATTTTTTCCTTCAGGAGAAGGGGGGTGTTAAGCGGGTGAAAAGGTACCCATTCAGCTAAGGAGCCCACACTTCGTCGTCAAAGGAACCCTCTTTTTGGATTAAGGGGACCTGTTCAGGCTCGGCAACCTATTTTTTCCTCCGTGACACTGCTTTGTGTTGAACAATATCTACAGGCGTCTTAAACAGCTTAAGGGCATTGGAACCCTTGGCCTCGGAGGCCCCACCACCTACAGAGGGGCCCAAGGTCCGATAAGCTTTCCCCTTAGGTACGCCATTGGACAGGACATATCAGCTAGATCAGGACCGGAGGTGACCGGATAAGATCTAACAGGACAGGACGGACATTGACACCAGCGGGATCGGACGTGACGCCGCCAGTGACATAAACAGGGCTGGTACGCTGCCCACCAGTTGTACAGGCCTTTACATTTGCAGTGCTGGAGAAGCACAGGCTCTCGCTTTGCCCTCGACTTCTACGATCTCCGCTCTTGAAATAATCACAAGGACATTGATCTGGATCTCCGACAGTTCATGCCGGTAAGCGGCGCCCCCTATACAGAGCCGCGTAGCTTTACACCCGCCGCCACCGGAGTGGCGCCACATAGGCGCTTTAAACATGAGGTCGGTGACTTTTTAAGGGTATGATTTAAGTTGTGCTGAGCGAAAATGAGCATGCAAATGTGGATAGGTGTACGCCTGCGTTTGTACGAACCCTTCTGTACGAGCCTTTCTGGGCGCTATGTGATTTAGTTATAGAGTTTTTTACGCCGAATGTTACTTTTTAACACCACACCGTGGTAGCCGGCGAATGCCTCTCGCTCGGGTAAGGTCAGCTTGACCCCCTGAGATCTCAGAAAGTTATGAAAGCTAGAGACACCGAATTCACGGAGTATGTTGGCCTGGACTGACTGGACTGACATGCGTCAAACTTTTGATGTTCCTAGGTTACGACCTTTGGGCTCGGGCTGCTGAATATGAGTCTATGCTAGAGCTATACGGCTTTCGGGAGACCTCGCGAACCTGAATGGTGGGCAAGCAGACGCGTTCGCCCGCCCTGCCCGACGGCAGCACGGTCGACTGCGAGGTCCACAGCGGCCTTTCTTCGCCTGCCCGGCGGCATCACCCGTAATCTGACTCCGGTGAATAGTTCCTTGACCGATGAAGTCGATTCAGATCATTACAGTTCAGAAGCCATACCGTTCTTTGGGACACAAAAGCCTGCTGTTCATGTGTGCTTTTGTGAAACTGCGGAACATCTAGTGGCCATGCATCACGTCTGTTCGTATGTCTACGAGTTGCCAGCTGAACAACAATGAGCTGTTGACCTACCCACATTTCTATGTGTGTGAAACGTCATCCAAAATTACAGGAGAAACGGTTAAGTCATCTTCGACATCCGACTCATGCAATTTTTTCAAAGCCACGATTCCTTCCTGAATTCACAAATATGTGGTTGATTCCAGGGGTCTGCACAACTTCCCCCAGAGTCACGCACAAGTCTGAGCATAACGAACTGAAATTCGTAACTTCGGTACGGTTATACTACGCCTGCTCTCCCTCTACAACGTACATAGCAAATCACCAAAAGAGGGTTACATGGTGAAAATAAACAGCACACTTTCATGCATTTGTGCAAAATTTGGCCTTTGGTATTTCCCATGAGCGCTGTAAGGCTTTCCTCTAGCAAGGAAAGTCAGTTTTGGCCACCCTGATTGCGACTTTCCAGTAGATGACTTGGGTTAAAGATTGCATTAGTTCTAAAACGAGTTGTGCTGCAAAGATAAAGGCACCGTAAAAACCGCATGGCAAAGCGGATTTAACATCACCCAAGGTAAAGATCGCACGCATAAAGATCACGCGAGACAAATACTAAATGTAACATGGTACAACATAAACCATGTAAAGAGCCGATAGAATAGAGAGAAAACGATACAAACAGTTCAAGTTACTTATACCAAGCTGATGAAGAACCTGTGAGACAAAGTTCGCGCTGGGGAGATAAAGCGCCAGATTGAGACCGTGCGGGATAGTGATAAAACAGCACGAATGTCGCGTTGGATGGAGGTTAAACGTACAGGTTAAAAAAACGTGCAAGATAAAGATATTCCGAAGAAAACAGTCTATGGAGAAATGATTGAATTGGATAATGACATTTTGGGCTGTAAAATGAGAAGTTTAATACAACAACAGGGCGCTTTTAACAGATGTTTATAAATATTCATCAATCGCACTAAGATTGAGTGCGGCCAACGAATGGAAGGAATGGGATCGTATAGAAAAGTACGTAGTTGAGTTGCGACAGGATTGGTCAAACCAAGCATCAACTGCAACGTTACAGCGCAAATAATCCGCCGAAATTTATAATCCAAGGAAGATAAGGCATTATGGAGACCTTAGACTTGGCAAGGCTACGAAACAACACATAAAAGGCTCGGTAATATAGTTATTATGCGCAGGGCACGTGGAAACGGTCGGCATTTGCGCACGTGCAAAAGTAGCTGCCCAATGCTTCTATCGCATTTTGGTTAACACGGGTTCTTTCCAAGTTTTACCAGCGTTAGACTCTGGCATCTGGCCAGATACTTTATGGTATTTTGACATAAACTAAATCCAGGTTCCTGGTTCCCATTAGTTGTTATGTAGAAACAAGGTTTGGTTTTTGTCTCCTATTGAAGACCAGTTTCTGGCTCACATTGGTTCATTTATGAACGTCAGGTCGGGCTACATTTGTCAGTGCTTACAGTTAAACGTGTTGTATATACACATATGTATGTGCATATGTATTGACATTTTTTACATGCGCACTGGTCCCTGCTAGGAATGCCAAGCATCGCCTGGTCCTCGCTGGTTCCCTGTACTTGACACCGAATGTTAGTTCTTGTAGAGTCCCGGCACAGCCCCGAGATGGGTCTTCCTCTTGGATCCCTCTGTTTGCTGGACCTCTGCCTTCATTTCAAAGTAGTCACAGTGTTCTTTCTGTTCCCAGAGTCAAGAACCAACTCCAGCAATTTTGCGCACCAGGCCCGTGTCTTCTAAGGGGGGACCTTCACGCACGCAGTCTATTAGTAGGTCCTCCCATGGGAGAAGCCATGGCCCTCCTGGGTCTCTCCCCCGGATCCACCCTTGCCATTCCGACTCTTCTAAATGGAGATCTCAACAGGAAGCTCGCCACCAGCCGGCCTGTTGCGCGTTTCTTGACCTCTGGCTTAGCCTAATCAGCCGGACAGGTCTCAGCCAGGGTGAAGCCACCTCTGACAGCTTTACCATTTGCAGACCCTAAATAACGAGCGGGACCACCGAGCACCGTTTTCTTGCAGCTTATAACAGCGTGTTGTCTGGTTGTCGGTGCCCGGAACGTGCAAGATTGGGGCCAGCCGACGGTGGTCGTGGGACGGGCATGTCTGGACGCAATATGCCGTGGGTCAGCGCCGGCCGCCGTAGCCGGCCCGCTGCAGCGAGCCCCGCCGATGGCGCCCACACCAGGGGCGTCTTCCACTTCCCCGCGCGACTCGCAGCGCAGGCCGGGCTCCGTCGGCGGCGCCCAGACCACAGCCACCGCCGCCCCTCCCGCGCCCGTCCCGCAGCGCAGGCCGGGCTCCGCAGCTCTGGTCAACTCTCGATGTCTCGGATGAGTGGCAGCGTTCTCCAGTATGAATGATAATGGCTTTGCTTGTTTGGCTGAATATGTCCGTCACTGAGAACGTTTGAGAACAATGTTGGTAGTGATTGGCTCATATGGTCAAACCCACCGTTCTTTACTTGCTGGCTGGGTTTGGCACTCATGGCTTCGTCCAACTTGACACGAGAAAGGAACATCTCCTTTCACGAGTTCGCTCTGTTTGCAGTGATTCACTGTTGAAATGGTTCTGGAACATCTCCTTTTACGAGTCCGCTTTATTTGCAGTGACTCAGTGTTGAAATGGTCCCATCACGACGGAGCCATTTTCAGCGCATTGAGCCGCGTGCACGGCTGTCTGCCCTGGCGGAGGGGCCTTCAGCCCATGATTCAGGGACGGGCACCGATGGCGGGCACAAGTGACGCATCGCCGCCCGTCCATCCCCGGACACTTGTCCGCTCACACCGGCCACCAGGGGGGTCATCACCGGTCACCAATTCACACCGGCCACCAGGACGTGTGGTTCACCGCCGGCCACCAGCTCACGCCGGCCACCAGTTCACGCCGGCCACCAGTTCACGCCGGCCACCAGTTCACACCGGCCACCAGTTCACACCGGCTACCAGGACGACCACCACCGGTCACTAGTTCGCACCGGCCACCAGGTCACACCCGCCACCAGGAGGGTCACCACCGGCCACCACTTCATACCGGTCACCAGTTCACACCGGCCACCAGTTCACACTGATCACCAGAACGGTCACCACCGGCCACCAGTTCATATCGGCCACCAGTTCACACTGACCACCAAAGACCACCACTAGTACCCCGTGTTCCAGGCTGGTAACGAGCCTGGCTAAGTCAGACTTTAAAATAATTGCTATGCTTTGCTACATTCATGGTCGTAGTTTCGCAAAATGAGTTGGGGGCTGAGCAGTAAGAAATGACGAAACTTGTCTCAAAATATGTCAGCAAACTGTTTTCTCCACGGATCTGGCCCGCTTTCTTCTCAAAGTGGGGGGGGGCTAGCCCTCCCCTTCCACAGTGGCACAGTCAGGGGGCACAGGGGGGCCATGCCAACCCCCCCCCCCTCCACCTAGGTTCCGAGGGACCCAAAGGGCCTCTCGGAACCTGCGACTAAGGGCCCGATTTAATGACACGAAGGGCCCGAAGGGCCGGTTGGAGGTCGTATTC